CGAATAAGAGTAATACTACGAATAAGACGAATAAGAATAATAATAATCATACTAATAAGAAGAACAATCGTAGTAATACTAATAATAAAACTACTACTACTAATAATAGTAACACTAATAATACTAATATTAATAAGAAGAAGAATGCTACTACTAATAATAATAATAATGATAATAATCATACTAATAATAATACTAATAATAATACTAATATTATTATTATTAATAATAATACTAATAATAATACTAATAATAATAATACTAATAATACTAATAATAATACTACTAAGAATACTAATACGAAGACGACTAAGACGAGGAGGGGGGGAGGAGTAGGAGGAGGAGGAGGAGGAGAAGAGGATGAGGAGGAGGAGGAAGAGGCGGAGGAGGAAGAAGAGGAGGAGGCGGCGGAACAGGAGGACGAGGCGGAGGAGGCGGAGGAGGAGGAGGACGAGGAGGGAGGAGGAGGAGGAGGAGGAGAGGAGGAGGAAGGAGGATGGAGGAGGAGGAGGAGGAGGAGGAGGAGGAGGGAGGAGGGTAGGAGGACTAACAGAAAGTGGTAGAGGAGGAGGAGGGGGGTGAGGAGGATTTGGCGGAGGAGGCGGAGGAGGAAGGAGAGAGGAGGAGGAGGAGGAGGAGGAGAGGAGGAGGATGAGGAGAAGGATGAGGAGGATGAGGAGGTGTGAGGAGGAGGAGGGAAGGTAAAGCAGGAGAGGAGGCGGAGAGGGGAAGCGGGGGGAAAGGATGAGGAAGAGAAGGAGGAGGAAAGGAACAGGAGGAGGAGGCGGAGGAGGAGGAGGAGGAGAGGAGGAGGATCACGAGAGGGAGGAAAGAGGAGGAGGAGCAGGAGCAGGAGCAGGAGGAGGATGCAGAGGAGCAGGAGAAGAGGCAGCAGGACGAGGAGGAGGAAGAGGAGGATGAGTCGGCGGGAGGAGGAGGACGATGAGGAGGAGAGGAGGAGGAGGAGAGGAGAGGAGGAGGAGAAGGAAAGGAGGAGGAGGAGGGGGAGGAAAAGGAGGATGAGGAGGATAAGGAGGAGGAGGAAGAGGAGGAGGAGGCGGAGGAGGAGGAGGAACACGAGGAGGAGGATGAGGAGGTGGACGAGGCGGAGGAAGAGGAGGAGGAGGAGGAGGAGGAGGAGGAGGAATGGGAATTGGAATGGGAAAGGAAATGGCCACATCGCGAAACGAAGAGGATGAGGAGGAAGAGGAGGAGGACGAGGACGAGGGAGGAGGATGAGGACGAGGAGGATGAGGAGGAGGAGGACGAAAGCTAATAATAATGATGGTGCGAATAACACTAATCAGACGAATGCGATGAATCATACTATTCATGATAGAAGTAATAAGAAGACAATTAGCCCAGTGCGACCCTACCTAGGAGTTGGAGCATTTAGGAAAGCAACATCTACATCTACACCGACAGCTACATTTACTTCTACACCTGCATCTACATCTACATCACCATCAACGGCGAGACTCACATCTACATCTACATCTACACCTGCATCTACACCTACACCTACATCTACATCTACACCTACATCCACATCTACATCTACACGTACATCTACATCTACATCTACACGTTCGCATTGCTCTTGCCTTTGCTTTTGCCTTCGCCTTTGCTTTTGCTCTTGCCTTTGCTTTTGCCTTCGCCTTTGCTTTTGCTTTTGCTTTTGCTTTTGCTGTTGCTTTTGCTTTGCTTTTGTTTTTGCTTTTGCTGCGCTAAGCTAAGCTAAGGTAAGCTATGTTAAGCTAAGCTAAGCTAAGCTAGGCTAGGCGACACTAAGCTAAGCTAAGCTAAGCCAAGCTAAACCAAGCTAAGCTAAGCTAAACTAAGATGAGATAAGGTAAAGCTAAGCTAAGCTAAACTAAGCTAGGCTAAGTAGGCTAGGCGAAGCTAAGCTAAGCTAAGCCAAGCTAAGCTAAGCTAGTCTAGTCTAGTCTAAGCTAAGCTAAGCTAAGCTAAGCTAAGTAGTTCAGCTAAGCTAAGCTAAGCTAGGTGAACCCAGGGGGCGCAGCTGGGGGAACCGCGGGGCGGGGACCAGGGGAACCGCCCGGAGCGAGGAACACTGCCCGGCCCCTTTAAGCTAATAGAGTAAGAACCCTCTAGGCAGAGCCTAGGTAGGGAACAACTACTACACATACGGTTAATAACACGATTCAGAAGATGAGCGAGACGACTAATACTAATTCGGCTGATGACATATTTTTAAAACTCGTAATACTACGAATTATCAAAATGATAACGATATCACCAACAATAATACTGCACATGCAATGCTAATCATACTAATACTAGTGCCGCTAGGGAGAATAATCACACCAATGATACTACTGAGAACGGTACGAATAAGACGAACAATATCACTGATACGAATACTAAGAATGCGACTGCTAAGGCTAATACTCTTAAGGGTAATAGTACTGATAGGAATGAAAATACCACTGCTTATTTTCTAAATTTAAAAAAAGCAATCAACATACTAATACTCATACTAATAGTAACACTGATGCTAAGGGTAAGGCTAATACTAATTCTCATACGGCGGAACACACTGCAATTATTAAGAGTATTATGGCTAATACCACTGCTAAGAACAATACTACTGCCAATACGAATCTGAGTAATATTGATAATACTACTACTAATACGAATAATGAACACAATACTAAAACCACTACTACTAATACTACCACTACAACTACTACTACTACTCCTACTCCTACTACTACTACTACTACTACTACAGCTACTACTAGTACTGCTACTACTAATACTACTATTAAGAATATTAATACGAGTCGTACTAATACTATTAATACTCATAACACTAATACTAACACGATTAGTAGTAGTAGTAGTAGTAGTAGTAGTAGTCGTAGTAGTAGTAGTAGTAGTAGTAGTAGTAGTCGTAGTAGTCGTAGTAGTAGTAGTAGTCGTAGTAGTAGTCGTAGTAGTAGTAGTAGTAGTAGTAGTAGTAGTAGTAGTAGTAGTACGTAGTAGTAGTAGTAGTAGTTAGTAGTAGTAGTAGTAGTAGTAGTAGTAGTAGTCGTAGTAGTAGTAGTAGTTCGTAGTAGTAGTAGTAGTAGTAGTAGTAGTAGTAGTAGTAGTAGTAGTAGTAGTAGTAGTAGTAGTAGTAGTAGTAGTAGTAGTAGTAGTAGTAGTAGTAGTAGTAGTAGTAGTAGTAGTAGTAGTTAGTCGTAGTAGTAGTAGTAGTAGTAGTAGTAGTAGTAGTAGTAGTAGTAGTAGTAGTAGTAGTAGTAGTAGTAGTAGTAGTAGTAGTGGTAGTAGTAGTAGTAGTAGCAACCCTAATGATATTAATACTAATACTACTAATAATACTACTGCTAGTGCTAATACTAATATTAATACCACTATTCATAAACAACTCATAATGATATTATTATTATTAATACTAATAGTAGTACTATCATTAATACCACTAATATTAATACTACTAAGACTAATACTATTAATACTAATACTAGCACAACGAACAGTACTAATACACCATACTAATCATACTAATCATACTAGTAGTAATAATGAGAAGACAACCATTCACACTACTACTGATACGAATACTAAGAATAAGTGCACGAGGAGGAGAAGGAGGAGAAGGAGGAGGAGGAGGAGGATGAGGAAGAGGCAGGACAGGAGGATGAGAAGGAGGAGGGAGGAGAGGAGGAGGAGGAGGAGGAGGAGGAGGAGGAGGGGATCAGGAGGAAGAGGAGGGGGAGGAGGGGAGGAGGAGAGGAGGAGGGGAGAGAGGGGAGGAGGAGAGAGGAGGAGGAGGAGGAGGAGGAGGAGGGGGAGGAGGAGGAGAGGAGTTGGAGGAGGAGGAGGAGGAGGAGAGGAGAGGATGAGAGGAGGGAGGTACGGGGGAAGGGGGGGGGGTAGGCAGGAGGCAGGAGGAATGAAGGCGTAGGAGGAGGAGGAAGAGGAGGAGGAGGAGGAGGAGGAACAGGAGGAATGGGAATTGGAATTGGACTGGGAATGGGAATGGGAATGGGAATGGTAAACTTGCGAAGCGAAAAGGAAGGGGAGGAGGAGGAGGCGGAGGAGGAGGAGGAGAAGGAGGAGGAGGAGGAGGAGGAGGAAGAGGATGAGAAGGATGAGAAGGAGGAAGAGGAGGAGCAGGAGCAGGAGCAGAGGGGAGGAGGAGGAGGAGGAGGACGGATGGAGGAGGGTGGGACGAGGGAGGAGGCAGGAGGGAGGAGCGAGAGAAGTCTGCTTCCTCCTCTTATCCCTGCGCCTCGGCCCCGCCCCCTCGCACAATTACTCACTATGAAAACTATTCTCTTCTCACCCCAGAGACCCCTGATGAGGGGGCGCGTCCCCCTCCGCGTATTGTCTTTTTCGCATCCGATGCCTTCGAGTTGGATTTCTGTATTTATTTTTCCAATCCGAGCGTTTTCGGTTCTTCCAAACTGCCCCCGCTGCAGCGCTGGCCTCGTTTTTGGGGTTCCGCTCGATCTGAATCGTGTTCCCGCTGCAGCGCTGGCTTCATTTTGAGGTTTCCGCTCGATCTGAATCGTGCTCCCGCTGCAGCGCTGGCTTTATTTCCGCGCTTCCGCTCGATCGGGATCGTGATCCCGCTGCAGCGGTGGCCTCACTTCCGCGCTCCCGCTCGTTCCGAATCGTGCTCCCGCTGCCGCGCTGGCCTCATTTCCAGTGCCATGCCATGGCATGCAATGCAATGCTACGTTGTGTTCCGCTGTGCGATGCCATGCCTTCTGCTGCAATGCTATGATATGCAGTGCTTGACCTCGCAGTGCCACGCCATGCTCTCTCATGCTACGCTGTGCTCTTCAACGCACTTTTACGCCATGAGATGCCATGCCATGCAACGACATCCGACTGTGCGAACAGAGTGGATATCTACGCCACGGTAAGGGATGGACGGGAGGGGCAGGACGTCAGATAAGACGCTTGCGCCCCTAGCTCGCCTCTCCCCCCTCTCTCTCCGCCTCCTCCTCCTCCTCCTCCTCCGTAGCCATTTTGGCTCCAGGGGGGCTCCGAGGGCCCCCGACCCCGCAGCCATGCGGGGGCCCCTCGCCATGGCGCTCCTGGTGGGCGCAGGCGCGTTCTCGGTGCTTCCGGGCTCGACGCCAGCAGGCCCCGCTGGCCCCGCCCGGGCAGCCGACACTGCCTTGCGAGGCAGCCACCGCCGGGCTGCCCAGCAGTCTGCAGGCGGCGAGCCCGCCCCGGGCTTCGGCGCCAGCGTGGCGGCCGCCGTGGCGATCGCGGCGCTCGGCGCGTCTCTGCGGAAGGGGCCGGCCTCGCGTGCCCGCGCCGCCCGCCGCGCGTTCTACGTCCCCGGCCTCGCGGCCGCGAAGAACAAGCCAGAGCTGATGAAGGACGAGGTCTACCAGGGCGCCGCGACAGGCGAAAACGAGCTCAACTATGTGAACCCGTGGTTGAGAAAAGTCTGCACCGACGAGGAGATAGAGGACCCGTCGAAGCAGCAAACTGGCAGAGGACGCTATGTGGAGTACAACGGCCCAGTCTACAAGCAGGTGCCGATCGTCGCGGGCTACGACAAGTTCCCGCTGGACCCAAACATCTACGATGAGAGGTACGGGCTGGAACCGCCACCAGTGGGCGCATGCTGGGGCGACGGGCGCGACCCCAAGGACGGCAACTGGTACCTGGAGATCGACGGCAAGAAGGAGCAGTGCTGGCAGGGAGACGGCCAGCGTAGAAAGGCTGGGGCCGTCGTGAAGGTCCTCAAGGGCACCGGCCAGTTCTTCATCAACGGCCGGGAGGCGATCGACTTTCTGGAGAACCAGCCGCTGTGGTGGTTCAAGGCGGCTGAACCGATCCTGTGCCTGAGCGAGAAGAACAACTTCGACATCATCGTGAAGGCGTTTGGTGGCGGTAAGAGCGGCAAAGCGGGGGCCATTCGCCTGGCCCTGGCGAAAGCTCTGATTGAGTATAACTACTCGTGGTTCCCGTTGATGAAGAGGGCCAAGTACCTCACCAGGGATTGGCGCATGAAAGAGCCAAAGAAGACTGGTCGGCACAAGGCCCGCAAGAAGAAGCCCTACCACAAGCGCTGAGCGGCGCCCGGGCCTCTGCAAGGTTCCGTCGCCTCGCTCCGCCTCGCTCCGCCTCCTCCGGTTCGCCTTCTCTTCTCCATCCGCATCCTCCGTTCTTCTCTAGTGGCTCTGGTCTGCTTCGCCTCCTCGCCCTCCTCCTCGTCCTCGTCCTCCCCACTGCTCGATCCTCGATCCCCACTCGTCCTCGACTCCCCCTCCCTCCTCCCGCTCCCCCCTCCGCCTAAGCAGGTGCTGCTGGCGGCGATGGACCCGCTGCCTGCCTCCGCGCGCGCGAGCTCGCGTCCGCCACCCCCACCGGTCGCTCCCGCCGATGTCATCGTAGTCGTTGTCGTCGCCGTGAAGGAGAAGGACGAGAGGAGGAGGAGGAGGAGGAGGAGGAGGAGGAGGAGGAGGAGGAGGAGGAGAGGAGGAGGAGGAGGAGGAGGAGGAGGAGGACGAGGCGAGGAGGAGGAGGAGGGAGGAGGCGGAGGAGAGGAGGAGGAGGAGGAGGAGGGGAGGGGAAGGAGGAGGAGGAGGAGGAGAAGGAGGAGGAGGAGGAGGAGGAGGATGAGATTGAGGATGATGAGATGATGATGATGATGATGATGATGATGATGATGATGATGATGATGATGATGATGAGATGATGATGATGATGATGATGATGAGGAGGAGGAGGAGGAGGAGGAGAGGATGAGGATGATGATGATGATGATGAGGAGGAGGAGGAGGAGGAGAGGAGGAGAGAGGGGGAGGAGAGGAGGAGGAGGAGGAGTTGGTGGAGGAGGAGGAGGAGGAGCAGGGGGAGGGGAATAAGGCGGAGGAGGAGGAGGAGGAGGAGGAGGAGGAGGGGGAGGAGGAGGAGGAGGACGAATAGAACAGTGATAGAAAAAAGATACTTTCAGTGTGCGCGAACTCCAAGCAGTGATTTGGTGGAGTCTTCGTGTTGTGGTGCAACCCATGCGGTGCAACCTATGTGGCGTCTTTCAGGTGATATGTGATATGTAAGAGCATTCGCATGTACTTGTGTAAGCGCCTATGTGTGTACGCATTCGTGCGTACATGCCCGAATGTGTGTGCAGACATATATATATATATGTACATACATGTATGCTTACATTAACGTACTTACATGCGTGCATGTTCGTTTGTATACATTGTTGTGTGTGGCAGCCCCAGCTACACGTCAACCTTGTTTGCACGATCTAGTTCCCGCATAGCTTATACCATGTATCTTGTACAACGTTGAATGCACGACTTAGTTTCCCACGTGGTGCTCGAGTACGCAAACAGCGCGAAGCAACGCAACACATTGCAACTCAATGCGCAACAATGCAAAGTCATGAGTCGCACTGCAAAACATTGCCAAACAATGCAAAGCAGCGCGACGCAAATCAAGGCAACGCAAGGCAAAGCAAGGCAAACCAATGCAACGCTGTGCAAAGTAGTGCAAGCCAGTGCAGAGCAACACAAGCAACACATTGCAATAATGAAATGCGATGCACATTGCGCAGCATAGTGCAAAGCAATGCGAAGTAACGCATGCCCAGACGGCGACGGGGCGGTGACGGCGACCACATAGCCTCCAGACCGACGGGCAGGCCCAGAAGACGGGCGGCGAGGCGGCGACGGGGCGGCGACGGCGACCACACAGCAGCCAAACCGACGGGCAGGTCCCGTTTCTCAGAAAAGAAGCAATACCCCTGAGTGAAAGCATTGCTTGAGGAATGTCACTAAGCATGATCAGCAACATATTTATTCTTGAACGGTTCGAGCTTGAGCTTTTTGAATTCGGTGATGTGTGCCTGTTTAGAAACCACCTGCCGAACGATCCAGGGGATTTACTTCGGAATGCTTTCCCTCTCTTGCTTCCTCCCCCTCCATAGCCTGTCTTCGGCTGACAGACGGGCGGAGCGCCGCATGCTCGCCCCTGGTGCGCCCGCGGCACTGCCAGCCTTGGTGGTAGCGCTGGTCGCGGCGGTGGAGTGGCAGACGAACCCCACGCCCGCGCCGCCTGCTGTGGCGACAGCGTGGGCCGAGGAGGTCGCGGGGGCCTGCGACGAGGCCTCAGCGGCCGCGCTGCGGGCCGAGGTCGCGGCCTTGGTGGCCTCGGCGGTGCCCGCACCGCCGCCCCTGCCGCCGCCGCCTCCGGCCTGCAGTGCCTGCACCTGCCGGGACGCGGGCGAGGACAGGGAGGTCGTAGCGCTGCTGTGCCACCTGCTGCTGAGCGTCCTGTCACCGGCCTGGGCGGTGCTTGCCGAGCGGTGCCTGGGGCGCTGTCCTCGTCGCCAGTCGGCTGGCCGCCATGCTCCGCCCGCGCGGGCGCCGGGCAGTCCCGACTCGACCCCGCTCCCTGCGAGGGAGGGGTGGTGCACTGACCTGCCCTGCGGGGCCCGCTGCCGCGTGAGCTACGTCGACGAGCCACGAGCGCGTCGTGGTGTGGCCGTCGAGGCGTGTGGAGGCGCGCCCGCCAGTGGACCCGCTCGTGTACGCATTCTTTCGGCAGAAGGCGACGTGTGGGAAGAGATGCTGTCGGGCCGACGGACCTGCTGGAGGCGACCGCCTTCCGGCTGGCAGCGGGTCCCCTTCGGACGGCGGAAGGCTATGCGGCTTCCGTGAGTGCCCAGGGTCCGCGCAGTTGGTGGAGCTGGCGGACGGCTGCTGGCAGGAGATGGAGCAGCGTGGGCAGGTGGTCTCCGACGACCCAGCCCAAGTGGAGCTCCCGTCGGGCAAGAGGGTGGGCAGCATGAGCGTCTTCCCTGTGGCGGCGGCGCCCTGGCCCCCGCCCCGCCTCCTCGGCAAGCGGCCGCTGTTGGAGGCGGACGGCGGCGACGCCGCCGACGCTGGCGGCTCGGCGGTGGTGGGGCTGGACGCGGGGTCGCCCCCGCCCCCGCCCGAGGGCCGCGCGTGGGTGCTGGCGGAGCCTGTGCCCGGGCTCGACATCGGGACGATCTTGGAGCCAAGGAGTGAGGAGCTGATCGGCGCGGGTGAAGACGCCACGTGGCTTCGACGCGGGCGAGCCCTCCGCCTCGAGCAGATGGGGCCTGGCGAAGTGCTGGGGTGGACGGCGCGGCGCGTGGCCGAGCTGGGCCGCCTCTTGGGTGTGCGCGTGGCCGTGCCGCCGCCCGCGCTGCTGCCCCCAGCCGTGAGTGCCGAGGCGGCCGCGCCTGGGAGCGGAGGCCCGGCTTTGCGCGCCCCCGTGGGGGCCGCAGACGGAGCTGAGCCTGCCAAGGGCGGCGGGCCCGCCGCCGTGGCGCTGGGTGAGGCCGCCTCGGACGACGCGCGCGCGCTCTCGGTCGAGTGGGATGGCCAGCGCGGCAAGTTCATAGAGTTGAGGAAGGCGGTGGGAGAGTCGTTGAGCTACGGCTGGGGTCACCAGCGTCTAGAAGGAGGCTTGACCGACTTCCACACGCGCAAGATGATGCATCGCACCTCTGGCTCTCCTCGCGCGTGGCTCGAGAAGTTTTTGCGCGACAAAAACATCGCGCCGACGGACGGGGTGGCCCACGAGCTGCGGCCGCTGGCGGAGGCGCTCGGTTTTTTTCGACCAGGTGAACCTCGGGGGGCTTGCCTGCCTGGAGGTGATCGTGCGCCGCCTCAACGCCATCGTGGATGCGTATAAGCGGGGTGGCGCCCCGTCCTTCGCCAACGCCAAGTACCTGGCTCCCATGGGCGAGGCGGACGAGCTGCTGGTGCAGGCGCTGAGGAGCCATGTGACGAGGCGGGCGAAGGAGGACTGGAAGGTCGATCAGTCGATGAAGAAGGCTGAGGCCGCCGACGCCCGGGCGGGCGCGGCCTCGGCGGGCGCTGCTGGCGGCGGCGCCAGCGCAGCGGGGGCCGGCGGCGGGGGTGGCAAGGGGCTCGGGCGCGGCGGCCGTGGCCGTGGCGCGAGGGCCCCTGGCCCCCCCCGCCAGTCCAGTCGTGGCCGAGCAGGCTCGGCCAGGGGAATGGCCCCCTCCCGGCTGGCACCATGGTTCGGCCCAGGCCGCGTCGTTGCCGCTGTCCAGTCTTGAGAGAGACATGTTCCCTGTGCCAAGCGGCGGCGGCGCCCGAGGGCGCAGGAGACAGCATGGGACTCGCACTCGGCGGCGCGAGGTCGAATTTGTGAGTCGCGCCCTGTTCGGCCTGGAGTGGATGGCTGGCTTCATGGGCGCGGCCGCTTCACCGAGTCTGGGCGCGTCTACTCTGGACAAGCATGCAGTCCTTCAGCAGCGCCTGTTGCGAGAAGCTCATCGGCGCCGGGCCGCAGCTCCTCAGGTGTTGCCGAGCGCGGAGGCAGCCATCAGGGAGCTTTTCCTGGGGCAGTCCGTGTATGAGACGAACTCGACACCGAGGAATTACGTCTCCTTCCAGCCCGGCAAGGTCTCGCCCCCCGAATGTGTGCGCAGCTGCCGCTTCCTCGATGACATGGGGGCTCGGAGTGCCGTTCTTATTTGGGAGAAGACCACGAGCGGATGATATTGGAGCCGGAGGCAGTCGACCTCGACAGCATGCCCCGGTTGTACATGGACCCGGTGCCGAAGAGCAATTCAAAGTCTTATCGTGTTCTGGGCGCGGACTTCTGGGGGCGGCGGCCAGGCCCGCCGAGTCGGGGGGGTTGTTCTTTGTGGCGAAAGCCGGGCAGCCGAGCTGCGTCCTGATATCGATAATCGATGCGAGAAGAAGTAACTCTCGCATCAGGTCTCCGCCTGGAATGCGGCCCCTTAGCTGCGAGGGTTTCGGCCAGTTTGAGATCGAGTTGCCGCCGGGGGTATCCCGTTCGTCGGCCGAGAGCCGGCGGCTGCTGGACTCGTCCACCGTGTGCGTGGCCACGACGGATGTGAAAGATTGTTTCTATCGGGCGCGAGTGCTGGAGGACCTCGGCCGCTACTTCAGCCCGCCGGCCGTCCCCGAGCACATGTTCGACGGGCTGAGCGTTCGTGGCCTTCGGGCCGGCGCCCCGCCAGACCCGAGGGCCCGGCCTTGCCTGGCCGCGCTGCCCATGGGTCTTGCGTGGTCTTTCTGCTTCGCCCAGGCCGCCAATAGGGCGGGATGTGCTGGAGTCCAAGTTTGCAGAGCGCGGCGTCGGCGAGCAGGCGGCAGTTGCTGATCCAGAGCCAGGGCGACTCATCCGTGCTTGTCGCGGGCGCTCGCGGTGCTGGCGGCGCAGGCGCGCGCGCGGAAAGCCTGGGCGCCAGCCCCGCCAGGCCCGACTTCGGCGAGAGGGTGGTATCGGAGTGGAGCGACCTCTGCGAGCTCGTGAACCTGGCGGTCCACGAGATGGAGCCCCGCGGCGGCGCTGGCGAGGCCCGCGGGGCAGAGCTGGACGGCGTCCGCCTCCACTCGGGGATCGCGTCGAGCAGGTTCTGGAAGTTCGAGCGGGGGCTGACTGGTCTACTTGCTGGTCGGCGCTGCAGCGGCCAGGCCCTTGAAAGAAAAAGTGAAAAGAATCTGTGCGTTCTGTGGTCTGGCTGCTCGTGGGTCCCTGTCTATTGGATCGCTTCGCTCATTCTGCTGGCCTATATTGTAGTCGTTTTGCTATACGTTGGCGTGCTAGTGGTGAGCGAGGGAGAGCGCGAGCAGTTGGAGGAGTTGGAGGAGGAGGAGGAGAAGGAGGAGGAAGAGGAGGAGGCCTTCGTCGGTCTCCTGGGAGGGCTCTCAAGGGCATCTTGGCGGTATTTCTGGGACCTCCTTGGGCGGCTTCTGGACGGCCTCTTAGGGCGTCTCGGGGGCCTCTTGGGGGCTTCTTGGGGGCTGTATAGACTGCGTTCTTAATTCCTACTCCTGCTGCTCCTTCCCCCTCTCTCCTGCCGTCCTGTGCCTTCGACCCTTCCCGTTTCCACCCGTTCCTTCTCCTCGCGCCGCTCGAAATGTCTTGAGTTCTTGGGGACTTCTTGGGAGGTTTTAGGGGGCCTTTTGGGAGGCTTTCCAAGGCGGTCTTGGAGGTCTCTCCTGGGCCGTTTGGGACCGTCTTGCGGTCCTCTTGGGCTGCTTTGAGGCCCTCTTGGAGGTCTCTCGGGCTGTCCTGGATCGTTTTTCAAATGCCCGGGGCTCGCTGGGGCGGTGGTGCTGGCGGCCGCCGAGGTAGGCGCCAGAAAGCTGACGCTGTATCAGCTGCGCCACTCGGGCGCCAGCGTGGAAGAGAGCAGGCGTGCGTGGACCCTCGGGGAGGCGCGCCGTCGCGGCTTTTGGGCCGAGGCGAAAGCGTGCGCAGGTGCGAGCACCGCAGCCGTTTGAGTGCGGAGCACGGGCGTTTCCGTCGGGGCCGGAATCGTCCACGCGAAGCGTGCGAGACCCACTTGCTGCAGATGCTGCTCGGACTGGCTCGCCCGATCGGGTTCGACGATCGAATCTGACCTCGCAGTCGCGCAGGCCCAGCTGAGAAGGACCTATTGCGGATGCCGAGAGAGACGTTTGCCTGCCCGGAGATTCGGCGGGCTCGAGGTTCGATTTTTCGTTGTTTCCGCGGGCAGCAGGTGCGCTTCGCGTGCTGGAGAGAAGCCTGGGTTTCGAGCTCGCAGCTGGGGCGTGGCTCGCGATCCAGTATTGCAGAACCTCTTGGATCCCAGAGTCTTGCGCCCGACTAGGCGCGACGCCCGTCAGGGGCGCATCCTGGCCGCTGGCTTGGCCCACTTGTGTCGGTCGTTGTCCATCGCCCAGGATAAAACTGCAAAGCTCAGGTCTCAAGAGCAACCGCGCGGCCTGGCCAGAAGTAAGCCCGGCCCAGTTGATAGGGATGAGGTCCGTCTCGCTCACGCTGCTATCGGATTGTTTGCTGTTTCATTTCTTTTTCCAACAGTTGAAGATCCCACCAGTTTTAGAACGCCCGCTTACGTCTCGGTTGTGGTGTGCGCTAGAGACACAGGCCCTTCCGAATCTGCCACATGTCAGTATAGTTGAACTTGACCAATTCAAATTCAAAGCTCAGTGAAATAAGCCAGTTCGTTTGATTTTTTGCCATGTAGAAATCGATGACCTTAAGCATCTGCGTGGGCCAGCGCGGTATGTGCTCGCTCTCAGGGCGCCCCCGCCTTCAGTTAGAGGAGGGCGCTCGTGATCGTCTAGCTGCTGCTAATCCGCCAGAGCTCGCGCGCTGTATAGTCCAGGCCCTTCCGGCCTCGAGCGTTGCCAAGTTTGGGCGCAGCAGTGTCTCCCCCCTATTCGTCTCTAGTGAAACTCCCGGATTCGGGAAACTCGGGGAGGAGCGAGAGAGCGCATTCAAGTGTAACCCCCGGCCCTGACGTTTCAAGATTTTCGTCAGCATTATGTTCCTGCTGCGTGAAAAAGAGTGGCTCCAGATGCTCTTCAACGGTTTGAGCTGGAACTTGCTGAATCCGGTGATGTGTGCCAGTTTTCAAACCACCTGCTAAACGATCCAGGGGTTTCTGATATCTGAGTGGTTTCCCTCACTTTCCCCGCCTCCCCCTCCGTAGCCTGTCTTGGGCTCCCGCCCTCCCTCCCTGGGATGAGCGAGAGTGCGCGTTCATCTTTAACCTCTGGCCCTGACGTTTCAAGGCTTTCGTCAGTTTCATGTCCCTGCTATTTCAACTGCTACCAGCAATGCGACGAGCATTGAGAGTAGTGCTGGGAACAATGGTACGCATTGTGAGGGGAAGAGAAGCACAACGTCTCGCAGGGAGGCGGTTCCGCTTTCCCCCGCAGTGCGGCATGCCGGATAACAACTGTTGGACCTCCGAAAGTTTCTGCTTATGCAGCTTTGCTGGTGCTGCTGCTGCTGCTGCTGCTGCTGCTGCTGCTGCTGCTGCTGCTGCTGCTGCCCTCGGAAAGCCAGCCAACGTGGCGTGGGCGTATCCCAAGCGGCCCCCTGGCCAGACGGAGCCGGCATCCGCGCCCAATTAGGTCCCCGGAGGTCCGTGGGGGTCCCTGGTGGCTTCTGGAGGCCTCCGGTCCGGAGGCCCGAGAAGAGTCAAATGCGTCTCGGCCACGCGCAGACGGGGGGTAGGGGGAGAGGGGGGGCTTCTTAGAAACACCCCTGTTTCTTAGAAGGCGAGGGCTTTGTCTACGGATGTAAGGCTGGCGCCTTCCAAGACGCAGTCTCCTTCCAAGAAGCCTTCCCCCCCTGCCCTTGCCCATTTGTGCGCGCCGACAGGCGTCAGAAACAGCCTCCCCTCTCCAGCCTCGCGTCTCTGCGGCGACCGCCCCTCGGCGTGCTGGGGAGGGTGCGCAGGAAGAAGGGTCGGGCCGCGCGAAGGGGTAGGATCGGGAAGTGGGGGGTCACGAAACAAACACAAGCACGTCAGAAAAAACCTCCCCTCGCGAGCCTCGCGGGTCGAGGGCGACAGTTGGTCCCCCCGCTGGCCGGAGGGTGTGCAGGAGGGCCGCGCCGCGCCGCCGCCAGCCGCCGCAGGGGCCCCCGCGGCGTAGCCCGCGCCGCCGCGCCGCCGCGGCGGAGGAGGCCCCTTGCCAGGGGCATCGATTGGGGGGATAGGCATACGGGGGGAGGATGCAGCGACCCCCAGTCGCCCATCGAACGCCCACAGCCAGCGGCCCGATAGGCCCACCCTTCCCAGGGGCGTGTGGGCTCGCTATCGGGGGCCGATCGTCGATCTCTTGGCGACGTGCTGCCGATTCCAGATCGACGTGCCCCCCCCCCGTCTGTGCGTAGTCCCCCCCCCATCGTTGCCCCTCACCCTTAGGCGGGCGGTCGCGCGGTGAAGGGCGCCCAAGGGGCGCGCTCGCCCGAGGCCGCCGCGCGCGCGCCGCGGGGCTGGAGGGAGACAGGATGCTGTGACACAGTGGAAAAAACACACACACACACACACACACACACAGTGTTTTTTTCCACAGTGTGTGTTTTTCCCACTGTGTGTGTTTTTCCACAGTGCCGCTGTTCTTCCTGGAGGTCCCTCGTTGCCACCGGGGTTGCCTCGATGTCCTAGTCAGGCCGCACCCTGGCAGAGGCCCGTGGGGCAGCGGCATCGGCATCTTTCCTGCTTCCCCCGTGTGCGCCCGTCCGCCTTGGGGGCCCCTCCTGCTGCTGCTCCGCCTCTTCCTGCTCCTCCTGCTCTGCTCCCTCTGCTCTTCCTGCTCCTGCTGCTCCTCCTCCTGCGCTCCTCCTGCTCTGCCTCCTCCTGCTCCTCGTGCTCCTGCTGCTCCGCCCGCTCCCGTCCCCATGGTCAGTGGCTCCTCCTCCCTCTGCTCGTCCTTCCCCTTCCCCTCCTCAGTCCTCCCTCCTCCCTTCTCCACCTCCACCTCCTCATCCTTCTCCTCCTCCTCCTCCTCCTCCTCCTCCTCCTTATACTTCTCCTGTTTCTTCTCCTTTTTCTTCTCTTCCTCCTCCTCCTCCTCCGCCTCCTTCTCTCACTCCCTCCCTCTCTCCCTCCCTCCCGCCTTCCCTACGGCTCGAATTCCGTTTAAGTTCTGGCCAGAGCGCGCCCTGGGGCACATGTTGGGCCGTGTTTTGAGGAGCTGTGCCCAGAGTGCCAGCGCCTTTGGCAAGGATCACAAGTAGGTCCGTCGCAAATCTTGGTGTCTGGAGGCAGTGTCTGCGTCCCGAGGTCCAGCGTCGGCCTGGGACGAAAAAACTGTCCCTCGAAAGGGGTCTGGGTCCGTGCGCAGTCCGTAGCGAGCAGGATGGACGCTCGAGAATATCAATGCAAGGGGGCCTCTGGGCGCTTCCAACGCTTCCTCTGCGGAGCCGCCTTGCTTCATTTCCGCCGCCTTCCCGCTGGAGAAGAGATGTATCAATCTCTGTACATTCGATGGCGAGACCCTGTCTTGAACGTACCAATGTGGGTGGTGGCCTGGATTCAGTGCGCGGCCCAAGAGGTGCCCATCCCTTCCCCCGGGGCCACATGGCGGACCCCAGAGGCCGAAATCGATCAAATACGCCGTGATCGAAAACAAAGACCACCACCGAGTGGAAAAGGTGTTTCTTGCCGGCCTGCAGTGGGAGAACGTCCCCCTCTCCGGGCCTGGCGGGACGGCGGAGGGGGCCACATTTCGGGCAGTGCCAGGGGAAGTCACCAGTAGGGGGCCACCACCTCCGCCTGGGAGTCGAAACTCGAGGAGGAGGAAGTGAGGAGGCGGAGGAGGAGGAGGAGGAGGAGGAGGAGGAGGAGGAGGAGGAGGAGGAGG